TGCTCGGTGCCAGCACGAAGCAGGCGGTGCTGGAGCTCAATGCGTCCGATGATCGCGGTATCGACACGGTACGCAGTAAGATCAAGATGTTCGCGCAGCAGAAGGTGACACTTCCCCCTGGACGCCACAAGATCGTCATATTGGACGAGGCCGACTCAATGACAGCTGCAGCCCAGCAGGCTCTACGACGTACTATGGAGATCTTCTCGGCAACGACGCGATTCGCATTGGCCTGCAACAACTCCACCAAGATCATTGAGCCCATTCAGAGTCGCTGCGCCATCCTGCGTTTCACTAGACTGCCGGACGAGATGCTGCTACGTCGTCTACTGACTGTCTGCCAACAGGAGAACGTCGGATACAAGGAGGAAGGACTGGCTGCACTCATCTTCACAGCGGAGGGAGACATGCGCAATGCGCTCAACAACCTTCAGGCCACAGCGAGTGGCTTCGGCTTTGTTAGCGACGAGAACGTGTTCAAGGTCTGTGATCAGCCCCATCCCGCTGTGGTGAGGGAGATCCTGAATCACTGTGCCAAGGGAGAACTAGATGGAGCGGAGAAACAAGCGGTCGAGCTCTGGAAGAGTGGATACTCGTCGCTGGATATCATCGGAACGATCTTCAGAGTGTGCAAGGCGCTGCCGATGGAGGACGAGAAGCTCAAGCTGGAGTTCATCAAGCTCATTGGAGCCACGCACATGTGCATTGCTGACGGAGTGTCCACTCTACTACAGATCCATGGACTAGTGGCACGACTGTGCTCTGTCGCGCTGGCTGCCAAGCCGGAAGCTTGAGTCGTAAGAAAGGTAACAAATAGATATGACCTTACTTAGGGGTAAAAGACGATTTGAAAGAGTTAAACGTGGTGCTTTGAGATGCCTAGCAGACACGTGCCCCGAGTGAGCTTGGTCTTTGGTCCACTGCTGGGTTTGAAGGCCCTACGCTCGCGCAGTGCATTGGGCAGGTCCTTGGTCGCTATCTTGACGGGGTTACGGCGATTGGGTAGCATGGCACGGTTCACGATGGCTTCGTCATACGGCTCTGGTAGTCTCTCTGGGAACTTCTCAAACGTGCCTTCTTCTCCTGCTTTGATCGGGTTATTAGGCTTCCAGGCCTTGTACGTTGGAGCGCGAGCTGCCGCCCGTTCCTTGGGGTTCATCAGCTCTTGTGCACCTGGCGGTTTGGCCAGACACTGATCATCCCAGCCCATGACACGTGACGCTGCAACGTGTTCATGACTGTCGAAGAAATCTACGCCTTCGGTGGTCGACTTGAACGGCTTGCGGTCACCAATTGCTGCTTTGTGTTTGTCTTCGATGAGTTTAGCTGCTCGTCGCTCAGATCCATAGTCAGCGTCCATGGCTGAAAGATTCCCGCCGATCAAAGTGCCTGCATATCCGAAGGTGCCTCGACGTCCCGGATTTGTTAGCACATTCTTCTTCTCGAACTGTTTTTCTTTTGGATTGGGCTTCGGTGCTGCGTTTTCCTCCATCGCTTTCTTGATGTCGTCTTCGTCACGCTCATATTTGCCGAATGCTCCGTAGTAATCACCAGATCCAGTGTGGTTCTGCGACGGGTTCGAGTACGAGAACCCGTTAGGCTTGACAAACGTTTTCGTGTTTTCAAGTCGACGTCGAGCTTCGAGTTTGTACTGCTCTGCATATTCGCCACCGAGTGGATCAAACTTCGGAAAACCGGGACCAAAGGTAGCAGCGAGCTGGCCCTTCTTGGGTGGACAGGTCAGGAACGGCTTCAAGTCACCTCCCAGACCTCGTTCCTTGGATTTCTTCTGACCGTATGGATCACCTACTGAGATGAAGCTTAGATCACTGAAGCCACCGTCGCGAGATGGCGTTGTCATGTCTGCAAAATGCAATATAACAACGTTGGTGCTCTCGTTCAGAAGTTTTTCAAGGTGATGACATAAATGCAAATAGCAGTGGAGTGAAAAGAGCTATTTTCAAGTTGATGGGCCAAAATGGGACACCCTAAAATAGCGAATGGCTCAACTTGGATACAGCACAGTTACGGAATCGCGACATCGATGTTAGAGTACTTGGACTGGAAGCCGTTTTTGGCAATCGTGTCATGATACCATGACGCTGAGTCCTTCAGCGTACGTTCTCGAGTCTCGTAGTCCACCCAGATGAGCCCGAAGCGGATGTTGAACCCTCCAGCCCACTCGTAGTTGTCGAAGAGTGACCAGGTGAAGTATCCGCGGACGTCAGCGCCCTCTGCAATAGCTTCGTGGATTCCGGTAAGGTACTGCTCGAAGAAATCAACTCGCTTCACGTCCTTAATACCTTCGTCCTTAGATTGATCCGGCCACGAAGATCCATTTTCGGTGATGATGACACCGTTCTTGGGCTGATACGTCTTGCTGATGTGCACACAGAGCTTCTTGAGCCCCCACGGGGTCACGAAGTTCCACATTGCTGCAGTAGGCGCCCACGATGGGTCTTCATACGAAGTCACACCTTCGTCCTGGAAGAATGACCCAGAATTGTTGCTTGGAGGCAACTCGCCGGCCTTGTACAAGTCCGATGGCTTGGCAAACGCTGAGGTGTAGTTGTTCAGTCCGAAGAAGTCCGAGCTCCCCTTCAACAGCTTTTTCTGCTCCTCCGTGAACTTGGGTAGGCGATCTCCCAGTCTGTCCTTCATGATCTGCGGGTAGTCGCCCTTGTAGATTGGGTCCGCGAACCAACCGAGATGGAACGCAATTGAGCGCTCTGCAGCCTCAATGTTCGCCTTCATCTCTACAGGATCATCGGTGGGGGCAGGCAGACGCCAATCCGCGCTCAACGTTACGCCGATCTGCCCTCCTTGTTGCTTCTGGAAGTCCTTACGGTACGTGTCAACAGCGCGCGAGTGTGCAATGAGCAAGTTATGTCCGCATCTGTACGGCTCAATGTGGGCATTGTGCTTGCGTCCAGGGGCGTGCACCCCCAGTGCAAGCCCCATGACACAGTGCACCCACGGTTCGTTGAGCGTGATCCAGTTCTTCACGCGGTCACCGAAGCGTTCGAAACACACGCGGGCATAGGCGACAAAAGCGTCCTGCACGTGTGTGCCATGGCCCAGCCACCCGTCGAACTCCGTCTGTAGTGCCAGTGGCAGATCCCAGTGGTAAAGCGTCACGAATGGAGTGATGCCATTCGCCAATAGCTCATCAATCAACCGGTTGTAGAAACTCACGCCCTCCTCGTTCACTTCGCCCACTCCGGCGGGGATGATTCGAGGCCAGGAAATCGAAAACCGGTATCCCTTGAGACCGATTTGCTTCATGAGAGCGACATCCTCCTTGTAGCGGTGGAAATGGTCGATCGCAACGTCACCCGTTTGGCCTTTGTAAGTCTTGCCAGGCGTGTGAGAGAACGCATCCCAGATACTTGCACCGCGTCCACCGTCTTGAGCTCCACCCTCGATCTGGTACGCGGCTGTGGCGGCGCCCCACATGAAGTCCTTAGGGAATTGACGTTCGTGGGCCATTTCGAAAGTTTTGGACGTTGTATGAGGCGAAAGGACTTGCTATGGAGGCGGCAAATTTGAAAATGAACAGCTCTTGAGCTGATGAACTTGACGAGCTAACTGTTTTTGGTAGCGCGAGTATTTGCAGGCATCAACACGTAGGACTTTACACAAAGCATTGCTGACGTCACAGACAGCACGGCTTATGCTTTTCATTTACGTTGTCGAGCAACATCAGTGGTATATCGCTGGTGGTCCAGGCATAAACTTCAACGTGTGCAAGTCAACTGACCCAGAGTTGGCCAAGAGAGGCGATCAGCTCCGAATGTTACACCTTGTAGCAACACTACGGCATATAAACTAATCCCAGAGATGTACAAGCGCACATTTCTGTAAGCTCACGTCTTGATCACTCAGCGTTGCTGGTATACGATAATAAGAACCTTAATTGAGTCGAATTCTTAATACTTGTTCATCGCGTGGTCTTTACGATCCTCTGTTACTCCTACGAGGCTCCTTATCGGTTAGTAGCCGTTCAACACCTTGTCGATAAAATGCCAATTCGGACTATTGTCCAAAGGGAAGCCGTCAGGACCCTGAAGATCCTCGTTCGCCAAACGTTTGACTGATTTCTCCTTGCCTTCCAAGACACGTTTCTTTTCGAAGAAGACGTAGGCTGTGCGGTAAACCACGTTGGACGCGCCAGAATTGGCACCACACCTCAAATTCATAAAGCTTCGCAGACTGTTGCTGTTCACATCGCCCAGTGCTCGGAGGAAAGCCGCCTTCGTTACCATTCCTTCGCCCAAGAAGTAGTTGATCTTCTTTCGGATTTCGTCGCAGTCGTCAAACACTGGCACAGTGCCATCGTCGTCCATATCTGGCAGCTCCACCTCCTCAATCCTCTTTAGCAACTCAGCTCCATCTTTCGACCTTTTTGTTTTTACTTCTTTTTGCTCCACTGCTTTGCGTTTTCTGTCTTTGGGCTTCATATATTTCAGTTTCTCCTTCTCTCTCTTCTCGTAGTGATCGAAGAAAATAGTTCCACCCAGATACGTTGAGTTGTCCTCCCCTGCGATTGGACCGGTCAAGCCCATGAACTCCCGGAATTCTTTCGGTTCAATATCGAGGAGGTCCAAAAACGCCGTTTGTGTCATCTCCTTGGTGGACAGGAGCTTGCGGATTTTGACTCGGATCTGGTTGCAGTTCCACTTGGGCCTTTCGGGTTCACGGTGTTCGGATTTATCTTCATGAGTATCTTCTGCGGGTTCTGAATTGGTCAGAGGCTTGTACGACCGCCACAAAAAGCGGTTGATGGCCAGGATGTTAGCTTCAGACGGAGAAGAAGGATTCTCAAGTGTCTGTCCAAGTTCCTCCCATGTCGTTGGGGGATTGCTCTCGATAGTGGCGGCGATAGGCTCCACCGCGTTCAGCAGCTTTGAAATGTCCATGGCGGGAATTTTTGAAGTGAGCTTCACAAAAGTTACGGAATGAATCATAACTGTAACTTTTTGCTTATCATTTTTAACGTTTCTATATTGGACGGATTTCTAACGTGGATACAGATCTCTTACGGCGACACCAATGGGGAGCGCGCTGCAGAATGTGCTGCGGCCAGGAAGCCACGAGTTCGTGATCGTGCTGAACGTGGTGCTAGCGCTGCTGTTCTTTGTGATGCTGGCGGTCATCTACACAGAGCTGGAGGACTCGTTCCACGTATTCGTGCTGCTGTTCCTCGTGGTGGGACTCACCGTCTCCATCAACTGGTTCATCATCGAGGCCAACAACCTCAAACACACACAGGTTGCAGAAGGCGACAAGCCGAAGCAGGAACCCAGCGCAAGAGCCAAAACGGACTAATCCAGCCGCAATTCAACAGAGAAAAACATAAAGAGACCGTTGATACAAAGCTTGTTCCTTGTCGCCGCCCTCTTCTCATTGACTTAAACTACCCACTAGAAGACGGTTTAACACTGCCAGTTCGCCTTACACGTCGTCGTCAGAAGCCAAGCCCAGGGCGCGTTTGCAGCAGCTCCTGGCGATGCTACGGCCGTAGGGAACGTACGAAAGCGTGTACCACACGAGTGCCATGAACTGGATGAGTACCGAGATCAGCACGAAAAACACTCGATGGTGGATGTGATGCGAGAAGCACAGCAACAGCGTCACGAAGATGAAGACGACGTAGACCACGGCCGAATAGCGGCGCTTGGAGTGGAACATGGTCTGCACCTGTTTCCATGGCCCCACGAAGAAGGTCGTGCAGCCGATAGACAAAATGTTGCCGATAGTGTACGCGATGGCGAACGGAGCGGGATTACCGTGCACCAGCTTAGCCAGGCGGAAAGTTGAGCCCAGCGACAGCAAAAAGCCCAGCAGGAAGCACGTGACGCAGCCGATCACACGCTCCTGGTACGACAGGCTCGGGCACAACCAGAAGCTGGAATTCGGCCCAGGCGAACCTTCCGCTGGCTGGCCACTCTCCGGGTCCAGCAGCTTCTGCTTCTGCGCTCGCAATGCGTCCATCATGGTAATCGACTAGTCGAGTCCAGCAGCTCCGATAGTAAAGCGATGCGCGAGGATCTCGAAGAGACGGGACCAAATTTTATCCCAATTTGGTCGAACCAAAAGTAGAATCAGATCTTATCCCGTAAAATATCGTACTTATTCGGGACATTACCTCCACCATACACCACTAAACGTATCGCCATGCGTCCGCTGCTGCAGGAGGCGCAGTTCGCGTGCTTCGAGGACGACGAGGGCGTCTCGCCCGAGCTCTCTTCGCTGCCGAGCTTCGTGATCTCCAGTCCGTCTGTGCGCTCACAGCCGCCCAAGAGTTTCGCGCGCGGTAGGCGTCTTTTTTAACGTTGTTTTTGTGTCATTTCTAACGCTCATTTCTATACCTTCTAGTGCGTGCATTGGAATGCAGCGGCTCAGGCAGCTTCTACTTCCAGAACGAGACTTTACGTGACCGCTTTGTGTGTTGGCGCGTGCTGAAAAACGTGGTTTTACTGCGGGAATGGAGTTTAAACTCGACGTTAAAGCAAAATGGCGTCCGCCTGGAGTTCCCTGCCCCCGTGGTGAGCACAGGAGTGTTCGCAGTCGAGAGTTGGGAGGACGATGCGGTCACTATCAACGTAGTGACGCACGCTGGAACCATCCACCGGTTTACTTATGCCGTACCGAGAGATAACAGTCTCAGTATCTTCTCTCAGGCCAATGCCAAGGCTTTTCCCGAGCCAAAACCATCCACACGCAGTCGCTGTGACGTGATGCAGACGCTGACTAGTAACGAGATCTTGACGGTAGCCCTGTGGGTGAACGAGTACAATTTAGTACTAGGAACAGACAGTGGCCGAGTACTTGGCGTGAACTTTGGACTACCCAGTGACGCTAAAAAGATGCAGGAATTTGTGTTCTCGGACGAGTCGGTAGTCAGCTGGATCTGGCATGGACTTATCAGAACAACGACAGCCAAATTGAAGGGAAATGGGGAAGATGCAGAGAGGAAAAAGATCGGAGCGGCGGTGGTGGCCATGACGTGCTTCGAGATTGAAGCGGAAGGAGATGAGGATGACAAGGACGTGTGTGTCGTGACGGTGTCTGCTGACTGTGTGCTTAGAGCGTGGAGTATCGGCTCTCAGTCGTGTCTAGGACGCCAGCAATTGCGGTCTCTGGTGATGCCTCAGACGAATGAGGACGATAACGAAGACGCAGGATGGAACGATGAAGATCTGGATGGCGATGACGGATCCAGCAGTATTGGTGTGTATGCTACGCATGCCAAGGTGGTTGCGCTGTCGGCTACAGAGTCGGATAATTGCAGGTTGTTGGTGCATCTGGATACAACGGCAGCTCACTCATCGGAGATTTATCTGCTGAGAGGAGACGTGCAGTCTTCTGCTGCTTCAAGTGCTGGAGGAGGCGAAGAGCTTGCATTGGATACAGCCAGAGTGTTCACTGTGCAGTCCCCAGAGCTGAAAGCCAAGCGTGGACTGAAGATGGTGGACTTTGCCGTGGACAAGAACTTCCTCTTCTCTTCGTGGCGATCGCTGGATGGCGATGAAGTGTACATCCACCCGAACCCGATGGCACTCACAGGTCCTAAACGTATTCTCGGCCAGCTAGTCAGCAGTCTGGACGTGCAGATGCAGCAGTACGAAGTGGAGGATAGCGAATGGTTGTTTGATCTCAAGGAAGAAGGCGTTATGACGCTTATTGACGACTTCTTCGCAGAAAGAATCCTTCTACCTGGTCGCTTCTCGAGACAGAACCTGTCCAATGCGATCGTGGAGGCACAGAGCGGCGTTCTCGGTGGCTTGAGCTCTCAGTCGCCGTTTGCCCATCGTCTACCTAAGTACAAAGACGTACTGGTTCGTCTAGTGTCCAGCCGATGTGTCGATGCGGCTGGTGCGGCTGCTATCCGCAGTGGAACTGCTCCAAGTGTGCTGCGCATTAGAGTCTGGAAGGAGCTTATCACTCTGTGCACCAAGCACTGGCGTTGCGAGAATGTGCCTATTGGCTTCGCTACGACGACGAACGCGCTGCTTCCAGGTGCACCAGTGATGCTGCGTCGTAACCGCGTGTCGTTACTGTTCCCGTCCGCTCCATCCATCACTGCTGCGTTTGTTCCGCAGGCGGAGGAAGGCTCCACAAGTGGCGAGTGCGTGGCCGACCTGGTTGCCGAAGTTCTTCCAGTATTTGACGCGTTCCCGAGCCAGAGTTTCCAGTCGTTTATCCACCGTGAAGTCGCTGATGTAGCGTCCGACTGGAAGGTGGAGTCCTTCGTGGCCTTAGCGCGTCACTGTGTTCGTCTCGGCTTGAATCCGGACTTCGTCGCAAATGCCGGTGTCTCTGGACAAACTATCAGCGCTGAGCTGGTTCTCACGCGCTCGATCCTACGCCTCAGCAAGCTTCTAGGCGGCGATGCCGCCTTCCAAGACCAAGTTTTCAAAGACCTGGTGGAGCATCTGTTCCCGTTCGAACTGTGGCGTGGCGCAGGAGCCTATAAGCCGTCGTCCCCCAAGCGAGAACGCGATTCTGACGAGGAAATGGCCGATGATAAGAACGATTTCGTGATGACAGACGCCTCTGCTACTGATTACTATTCGACCACCCGAGCGTTCTTCGCTGGCCATGAAATGTGTTTTGCTTTTGACCAAGTGGCGTCACGGACCATCGACGAAATGTGCAATCAATCTCTGCGCGTGGTGCTCTTCCTGGCGTATCTGGTGGACACTCGACCGGCTTTCCTGACCTCTGCGACGCTGAGTAAGATCGTGCGTGTGTACTTGCCTAAGTCCATCACGGTGTATCAACGCTGGAGACTGAGTCGATGGGTGGCCAGCCAAGGCATCACACAGCCGATTGCAGACACGGATCCTGTTCTCAATTCGTCAGGTTCTCTCATGCCACCACTGCTTCAAATGTTCCTGCTGGACGTCAACAAGAAGCTCAACCGCTCGGACAGCTTCAAGCGAGCGCTGTCGGTTCTCCAGCTCGCCAGTGCTAGTAACAATGTGCGCAGTGAAGAAGCTCACGGCGTGTTGGCCACGTTTACTCGCGAGATCTTGCAGTACGTCTCTCAGCCAAATGAGTCTCTAGTGCGGTTCCTACAGAAGCGACAGCAGTTTCGCTTACTGCGCGCCATGTTCTGCTGCAACCTCAGTGACATCAGTCTACATGGCAGTAGCAAGGGTGAAGCCGCTAGCTCGCAGCAGACGGAGCAAGTGCACCAGTACGTGCGCTCGATCGGTGAGTGTCTAGCGTGTGAAGGTCAGGAGGCTGCTTCGCGTGCTCACGACGATAAGGACGCTCGCGATCATGCTCGTTGGTGTTTTCAGCAAGCGATCCGCTGCTTCAGTATCTGCCTGTCCAACTTCTTCGTGGAGCGCAAGCACAGACATTCGCTGTCTGAGAAGGATCTGGAGCAGTTCATCTACGACGTCGTGGGGCTGCTGAAGGAGACAGTGCCCCGTGGCCACTACGACCAGTTGCTGAGCTTCCTGTGGACTGTGGTTACGCAGGCATTGAGCCACTTGGCTCGTCATGACGGCGGCCAGAGCTTCGCCGTGCAGTCTTTTGTCTGGGTGAACCTGTTCAAGTATTCGGTGGAGGAGCGACTATTCCGAGACGCGCATCTTGCACTTATGCACACGGCGGAGCTGTCGGCGGCTTTGGGTGCGGAGACTGCAGACGCTGAGGGCACAGCGAGTGAGTGTGTGAATTATCTGGTCAAGGAATTGGTCCGCTATGGTCATCTGGAGCTTATCTGTGAGTTGCAGTGGGGATCGTTGGAGTCACATGTCGAGAAGTACATTCTGTGGCAAGCTGCCAACGCTACGGTCGTTCACGGTGACGGCCTGGATGCGAGTGCGGTTAGATACTACAACTTGCTGTTCACCTTCTACATGCGCAAGCAACAGCCTGCCAATGCGGCGTCTTCACTCTACGCTCTTGCGCTTCGACTGCGACTGGCTGTATCCACTTCGAAAGCTGCTCTGGAGGCTCAACGCAACGCTCTGAATGCTGCTTGCAACGCGTTAAGAGCTCTGCCTGCTGAGAACCGCTGGGTTGTACGGAAACTGCACACGGAAGAGCTCAAACGACCTGCCTCGGATACTCCAGGAGACAAGTCGACAGCTTCACTGAGTGTTGTTACGCTTGAAGATATGCGTCGTGAGTTGGCAGTACTGGACGGTAAACTACGTTTACTAGCACTGGGCCACTCGGAGAGTGTGCTCTTGAGTACGATGGATGGCGACGAAGTGATCGCACTACTGGTGGACGCAGTTCATAGCAGTAGCCACAATGAAAACACGACGCTGGCGGAACGTCGGAGAGCTGGAGTGCGTTCTATCGAGGTGGCAGCGGACATTGCGGGTCAAAACTCGGCTAGTTTGTCCGGTCTCACCAAATCGTTGGCTCGCTACTGCGTTGCTAGTGAACATCCTGCTGCGTCCATCTCACGTGCTGATAGCGACTTGTTGTGGGAACTGCTGGAGCTGTTGCTGAGCAATGCTGCATCATTAGAGCAGTACGAGATCGCAGTGGAGACGGTGTTAGACTTCTGGCAACAACAAGGTCGCAAACTGGCGTTGCCTGTGTGGCTGAGTAAACGTTTGTCAAGTCCGAAGTCAGGAAACCCGTCCAAACTGCTGAGACTTTACCTAAAACATGGTCTGCTGATCGAAGGCTTGCAGTTGGTGGACGGCCTTCTGCCAGATGACGCCTCTATGCGTGGAGGAAGTACCAAGTCTGTGTTCAGCTTCCAGTCGCAGATATCAAGCGCTAAGCCGGAGCTTCCATGGATCCCTTACAACCTCGTTGACGTGCTGCTGGACTCGACATCTGCTGTGTTAAACCAAGGCGGGAATGGTGAAGTCTCTGCTGCCGCTATGACAAAATTACGTCAGCAGGATCACAGTCTTCGTCAGCAATTGGCTCGCTACTTCAACTCGGTCACGGCACTGCAGCAAGCACAAGAAGCAGCGAACCTTGCACGGAGCAGCATTGACTTGGACTTGTAGACGAATTGTTGCAGCATGATAATGGTTCAATGCAAGTGAAAAAATTGCAAATGTTTCGAATGCTAATAATTAAAGTGCAAATGCGATAAAAATAATTGCGGCCACGGCAAAAACTTCTTAACTAGTACTTAAGTAATATACAGAAACATGTAGAAGCGAAAACTAAACTGCATTCACGTGCGGATTCCTACGATGACCCTGCGCATGCCGTTGTCGTGACGCAGTGGGAATCCTTGACGGCCCTGCGTCTTCTCGTTGTCAAGACGCTTCTTTGTCTTCTTGCCACCTTCCAAGATGCGTTTCTTCTCGAAGAAAATGTAGGCTGTGCGGTACACCACGTTAGCCGCACCCGATCCAGCGCCACGTTTCAAGTTCATGAAGCTGCGCAGGCTGTTGCTGTTGACGTCGCCCAGTGCACGTAGGAAAGCCGCCTTTGTCACGATCTTTTCTCCCAGGAAAAAAAAGTTGATTTTCTTGCGGATCTCATCGCAATCGTCGTAAACGGGCACATTGCCGTCCTCCTCCATGTCTGGCAGCTCCACCTCCTGAATCTTGTTGAGTAATTCGTCTCCAGTTTCGAGCTTTTTGATCTTCTTTTCCTTCTCTTCCGTGGCCTTCCACTTCCTGTCCTGAGGCTTCAAAGTCTTGAGTTTGGCTTTCTCCTTTTTCACTTGTGGCATCTTTTTTTTTGCAGCAATTTTGATTTGCGTCGTTTTTTATACCCGTACCTGTACAAACCGATTTTGAAGCTTTATTATCGTATTCCGCAGTTTTCATCGATTGGCTGGCTCAAAAGTGACAATTGCCAACATGGCCAAGGACGGCAAGAGCAACAAGGTGGCCAAGACACTGGAGCCTGGCAACCTGAGCCAGCTAGTGTCGCTGCTAAGTGAGCAGCACGTGGCCTGGTACGACGCGGAGCCCAAGATCAAGCCGAAGCTCAAGCACAAGAACGATGGCGAGCCATTAAAGGCGACGGATGAACTGGTACTGCAACTGAAGCAACAGGCGCAGCAGTTGCTGGAAAACGAAGTGGCACGTTTCGAGACGCAAAAGAGTGGCAAAATGTCAAGCGACGACAAATATTTGTCCACCATGATGAAGTCCGGTACATTGGCCGATAGAGTGGCCGCTCTCACTCTAACCTCGCAGGCGTCGCCGCTACATTCGCTAGTACGACTCGGCCAACTCATTACGATGGCCAGTAAGAAGGCCCGACGTGAGAGCCTCATGGCCGTGGACTCTCTGAAGGATCTTTTCCTCAACAACCTGCTGCCAGACGAGGCCAAGCTCCGTTTCTTCCACCAGCACCCGCTGCATGCGGCGCAGAACTCGCCCGCCCATTTGGTGCTCTGGTTCTTCGAGCATTGCCTTAAAACTGCCTACGCCCAACTCACTGGAGTGCTGGCTGCCGGCATGGACGACGCTGTGGACAGCCACAAGCGCGCATGTCTGCGTGCAGCCAACGCACTGCTCAAGGCCAAGCCCGAACAGGAGGCCGTGCTGTTGGCCATGCTCGTGAACAAACTGGGTGACCCGGACCGTAAAATTGCGGCCTATTTGCATCGAATGCTGCAGGAATTGCTGCGTGAACACCCGGCTATGAAGCGCGTGGTGGTGGACGAAGTGGAACGTTTACTCACGCGCCCAAAGGTGTCGGATCGTGCCAAATACAACGCCGTGTTGTTCCTCAACCAGATTTACCTCGAAGGTGATGGAGTAGACGCCGATCTGGCTGGTCACTTGATCGCTGTGTACTTCGGACTATTCTCAAAGGAAGTTCACCGTCATGATGAGAAGAACAAGACGGTTAAAGAAGCGAAAAAAGGCAAGAAGAACAAGAAGAAAAAGCCTGTATCCACCTCAGAAGAAGCCATGGACCGTAAGCTGCTGAGTGCGTTGCTAGTCGGTGTTAACCGTGCGTTCCCGTACGCGAACGCCACGTCTTCCAACTTTACTGAAGAGATCGACTCGTTGTTCCAAGTTGTGCATCGCGCCCACCACAGTACCAGTGTGCAGGCGCTTATGCTGCTATTCCAGGTTATGAACAGCACTAACTCGGTATCCGACCGGTTTTACACTGCGCTATACGGAAAGCTGATTGACCCAAAGGTGCGCGAGACATCCAAGCACACGCTGTTCCTCAACCTGATCTTCCGTGCCATGAAGGCGGATGTATCGCCTGCACGTGCCGGAGCCTTCACCAAGCGTTTATTGCAGCTGGCCAGTGTGATGCCGCCGGCTTTCACGTGTGCTGTGCTCTTCTTGCTGTCTGAATTGCTCAAGGTGAAGCCTCAGCTACGTACATTGCTGGACCAGCCCGAGTCTGGATCTACTAGCGCCGGTGACGAGCACTTTGAAGATGTTAAGACGGAGGAATTTAAACTTGAAAAGGAGGAGTCCGACGACGATGAGGACACTACGGAAGACGCTGGATCCAGTAAATTAGACGATGGTTTGACGGACGAAGAGCGCTCGGCTAAGGTTCTGGCCCAAATGTTTGGTAAGCCTGAGAAGGAGATGAAGAAAGAGGCTGCTGTCGTGAGCTTTGATGACGAACCGACCACGAAAAAGGAGAAGGAAGAAGGTGGGTATGATGCTACCAAGCGTAACCCGCTCTTCGCTGGCGCTGAGACGTCGTGTGCCTGGGAGATTCAGATGCTGGCGCACCATTACCACCCGTCCGTGCAGAGTTTCACGCGCCAACTTCTTGATAACAAGGATAGGGGCATTCAGTACGCTGGAGATCCGCTGGTGGACTTTACGATGCACGCCTTCTTCGAGAAGTTCGTGAACAAGAAGCCGCGTCATAAGGTGGCTGAGACGAGCGGTAACAACGGTGCTAAGGCCAAGAACTGGACGTTCGCCCCCATTAACACGGAGGCTGTGCTGCAGGAGAAGGAGGACAATGTGGACGCTAGTGACCAGTTCTTCTACAAGTTCTTCAAGGAGCGAGCTTCGCGTGATGCTGAGCATCTTAACAGCCGCCGTAAGAAGGCCAAGAATGAACGTGATGCCGATGCGCTCTCTGACGTGGAGGACGCTGATGATGAAGAGATTGATGCGTACGCTCAGGAACTGGCTGAGGGGATTATGGAGGATGGGAACCACGATGATGAAGACCCAGATATGGAGGGCTGGAGTGACTCGGATGACGAGGAAGAGCCGACGCTGGAGGGCGAAGATGAGGAGATGCCAGAGTTTGCTGCTCCTGAAGAGGACGATGAAGAATCTGCCGATAGTGAACAGGAGAACGGAAATGATGATGAGGACGATGAAGTAGATGAGGACGAGGATGCTTTTGACTTCTCTGTTATGGGCGCGGATGACGATGATGACGTGCTTCAGGAAGAGCTGGAACAACTGGACGCCAAGAGGAAGAAACAAACACCACCGAAGGCCGGTGACAAGCGCAAGTCAATGTTCGCCAGCGCTGACGACTACGACCAGATTGTGAAGGAGGCCATGGCCAAGCAGGCTAAGGGCTCTAAACAGACAAAGGGTAATAAATCAAAGAAGCCGCGGCGATCGTAGATAGACAACTCAGCGTAGACTGAAGATAACAGGATGCATATCAAACAATTTTAGAGAATGTTGTTCATTTCATGCTGTCAATGCAATGCACGAAAACAACTGCATATACTATAGTAGTAGTATACCAGATAATCTAACCAGGCATACGACACGAATTCTAAATTTCTACGCTCGGTGAGATATTTCACTTTTCTGAGTTAATAATTTTGCTAAGGGCTAGCCAAACAAATCGAGTAACAAGTGGTCGTTGGCTTTAGGCTGGGAGGC